TTCCAGGTTATCGGGTTTTGTGTAATAAACTTTACTTTTTAGATAGCCCCAAAGGAAATAATCGGGCGGCGCTAAATCGGGTGACCTTGGTGGCCACTCAATAGCTCCTCTTCTACCAATCCATCGATTTGGAAATATCTCATTTAGATAGTTGCGTACTGCTACACCGTAATGCAGTGGGGCCCCATCCTGTTGAAACCATACATTATAGAAATCGTCACCAGCTGTGTCAGTTATAGATGGTATTATTTGATTTCTTAGCATTTCTTCATAGACAACGGCATTCAAATTGCCATCTATGAAAAACGGCCCAATTAAAGTATTATTATAAATCCCGGCCCACACGTTCAGTTTCTGAGGATTTTGCGTGGGGGCGTCAAGAGCCCAATGAGGGTTATCATCGGTCCAAAAACGACAATCTTGACGGTTCACTTCGCCGTTGACTGTAAAGGTTGCTTCATCTGAAAAAACGATATGGAACAAGAAATCAGGCTGCTGGTCTATCCGTGTTATCATCATGTCACAAAATTCATTACGATCGTAATCATCTTCATTTAATTCTTGAATAAGGTGAATTTTATAAGGATGAAACTTGATAAATTTTAAATTCCTGCGAACAGAGGTTGCGCTAATTTCAAGTTCCTGCGATGCTCTACTCACAGAGAGTCTTGGATTCTCTACGAAAGCTTGTGCAACTTCGAATGCCATCTCTTCTGCGGTTTCCGTTTTTGGTCTTCCAGATTTTTCGCGATTTTTATTTGTTCCAGTTTCCTCGAAACGCCTAATTGTACGTTCAACCGTTGATTTAGAAATACCGTTACCTTCATTACGAAAAGTATTATTGAAGAGTGTCTTCACTTGATCATACGATCTTTGTCGATCACCCCATCCTCTCATCATTAAAATACATACTCTATCTCTTTCTGAAAGATGTGCCATGATTACTCACAAATGAGAAATAAACTAAAATATTTATTTGTCAAATTAAAACCAATAAAGTCGCCTCGATGGACTGCCGAAACGAAATAAGTATGACAATACTTTATGAAAAACAGTGAATTGCGATTCGTCAAGCATGAAAATGTCACAATAGTTATAGGTAAAGTTATAGGTAATATAGGTAAAGACGCAGCTTTCTGACCAAGAGGACGTGTCATTCCCATAACTATTGTGACATTTTCATGCTTGACGAATCGCAATTCACTGTTTTTCATAAAGTATTGTCATACTTATTTCGTTTCGGCAGTCCATCGAGGCGACTTTATTGGTTTTAATTTGACAAATAAATATTTTAGTTTATTTCTCATTTGTGAGTAATCATGGCACATCTTTCAGAAAGAGATAGAGTATGTATTTTAATGATGAGAGGATGGGGTGATCGACAAAGATCGTATGATCAAGTGAAGACACTCTTCAATAATACTTTTTGTAATGAAGGTAACGGTATTTCTAAATCAACGGTTGAACGTACAATTAGGCGTTTCGAGGAAACTGGAACAAATAAAAATCGCGAAAAATCTGGAAAAACGGAAACCGCAGAAGAGATGGCATTCGAAGTTGCACAAGCTTTCGTAGAGAATCCAAGACTCTCTGTGAGTAGAGCATCGCAGGAACTTGAAATTAGCGCAACCTCTGTTCGCAGGAATTTAAAATTTATCAAGTTTCATCCTTATAAAATTCACCTTATTCAAGAATTAAATGAAGATGATTACGATCGCCGTAATGAATTTTGTGACATGATGATGACACGGATAGACCAGCAGCCTGATTTCTTGTTCCATATCGTTTTTTCAGATGAAGCAACCTTTACAGTCAACGGCGAAGTGAACCGTCAAAATTGTCGTTTTTGGACCGATGATAACCCTCATTGGGCTCTTGACGCCCACACGCAAAATCCTCAGAAACTGAACGTGTGGGCCGGGATTTATAATAATACTTTAATTGGGCCATTTTCCATAGATGGCAATTTGAATGCCGTTGTCTATGAAGAAATGTTAAGAAATCAAATAATACCATCTATAACTGACACAGCCGGTGACGATTTCTATAATGTATGGTTTCAACAGGATGGGGCCCCACCGCATTACGGTGTAGCAGTACGCAACTATCTAAATGAGATATTTCCAAATCGATGGATTGGTACAAGAGGAGCTATTGAGTGGCCACCAAGGTCACCCGATTTAGCGCCACCCGATTATTTCCTTTGGGGCTATCTAAAAAGTAAAGTTTATTACACAAAACCCGATAACCTGGAAGATCTTCGACAAAGGATTGTACGAGAAGCGGCACTTATTCCTCCGAATATTATTAGAAAAGCTGTGGAGAATTTCTACACACGTTTAGGATATTGCCAAACAGTAAACGGATACCAGTTTGAGCATACATTATGAATATCCTCACACACACACACACACACACACACACACCACACACACACACACACACACACACACACCACACACACACACACACACACACACACACCACACACACACACACACACACACACACACATCAGAGTGAGTTTGGAGTCACAAAATACTGCGGGAGTGACGAACCGCGGGGTCTTAATCTCTGTTGGCACACACACACATGCAGACACACTGTAACACACGCGCGCGCGCGCGCGCGCGCACACACACACACACACACACACACACACACGTGAGAGGCAAGGGGATTATTCACTTTAATCCAACACCCCGAAGGAATCAGTTTCCTGCTACGTCCACGTCGTTGATTCTGGGTGATGCCGAGAGCAGGACACGACGCATGTTGCCGTTTAAGATTTTTGGCCCCCCTCGTGCCCGCCACCCTCCTTGAGGTTAGGGGGCCGAAATCCCCCCTCAAAAGATAGTTTGTTTGAAAAATCGAATCACGTGTTTCGGCGATTACATCATTTTTAACGTTACTACGACTAAACGCTTAAAAATGAAATATCCACGCGAAAAACGCTCGCAGCGCCATCTACGACCAGTGGTCTGAATTCGTCTCGAAAATACCTTTCAAACAAGCCCCCACTCGACCCATGTTGCCATTTAAGATTTTTGGCCCCTCTCGTGCCCCCCATCCTCCTTGAGGTTGGGAGGGCCGAAATCCCCCCTCAAAAGATAGCTTGTTTGAAAAATCGAATCACGTGTTTCGGCGATTTTTGAAAATTTAATTCTTTCAAAAGTTATTAGACCGTCCCGGTACTTTTGGCGGACCCTGTATTATAAATTCATGTGTTTTAGAAAATAAATAAAATGAAATTGTACCTGTCATGTTCCTTTGAAAACCGAAATAAGTGTCGTTTTTCCACATTATTTTTATTACATTCCTTGACAACACATCATCCGTTTGATTTCTGGGCCAACATCTTTTCCATCTTTTATAATGTTCTCTCAAAATAATATCTGCAACACAAAGCTAATATCAAAGTGCTTCAAGAAAATCGAAAATCTGTACAATTGTTGCACAGATAAACTATTCTGCGTATAAAAATTCGGCCTTTATCTGATTTTCTGCTTCCTAGATACGTCTAAGCACTTTATTGAACACTGAACTTTTTTAGTTATGTGTTTAGTTATAAGTATTCACTGAATACTTATTCAGTGAACACTTATAACTAAACACATCACAATCACTTTACCACACGTATCACTTTATTATTTCTCATATAATATGTACTCCTCTGCCACTTTCCGTTAAATGGCCATTTAAATCCCTTATATGGACATTTCAACGGTGCAGACAGATAGTGACAATAAAGAGAAGAAGCGAGATGGAATATCAGTGCCCTGATTGGTTATATACCTCGCTCGCGCATGTGCAGTTCATTTTTATCCACGGTGAAATCGTGAGAATTGCGCTACTGTATATACTGTGTCTCTGTACTCAATCACGAACCGCCCTCTCTGCCACTTTCGAGACTGAGCTGCCGGTTGAGAGGGACGTCGACGTTCGCAGTATAATGTAAAATCGCGTAGAAAATTATCTGAGTAATTTTGAGTAAGAGTGGCACGCTCGCTCGTGCCTGGCGTCCAATTATCGGTCTCGAGATCTTGTACTGTGTACCGAGGCGAATGGAAGAGGAAGAAATTTCGGTTTCTTCTAATACCGGACGAATTCCGAACACAGAATTATCGGTGTTCGTAAAGAATAAACTGTGAACGCGCGACGAAGTTGCGCCACGCTCGTGAGTGCGGTTGCAGCGTATACTGGCACAACTCAGAGTATACGTTCGACCCAATGTTCGAGTTTGAACATGAAGAGCACGGTTGACGGCTTCATATACAGACATGTATCGACAGTGTTAATTTGATCACATTCGCATCACACATTTTTACGATTTCTATCACAAAATTTTGTACCGATAATGATGAAAGTGCGATTGATTGCACAAATCGCTCAATATCCTCGCGTCTTTCGATGAAAGTCCGTCACATTGCACGAGGAAAGATTATGTTGTTACCCTGGTTGTCGCCAATTGCAATATCCACAAAAGACACAGGTCCCACGACGATTCCGATATCCAGGTATTTGTAAGCTGTAGGAGTCAATGTAAATCTTCTTCCCAATATACGAAGTGTATGACTGGATTAATTACAAGAAGATGCTCTACAGAAGAAAGTAATATATTAGGTATGGGAATAAGTTTCCGCCCATTGTAGAAAGATGTCGTTAGTAACATTGCTTGTGTGTTTGATAGAACGGCAACACATGTGTTTGAAAAGTTTGTGTTCAAACTTTTGAGCCCAATAGTTGGCATTCGTTCGGAAGCGTAAAAAAGAGTAACATTTTTTGCGTTGAAGATATCGGAATTTATTCCAAAAAAGCAACATTTGCAGGAAGTTTTACTCCATTATTTTATTTTAAAGAAAAGTGCTGCAGAATCGCATCGTTTGCTCGTAGATGTTTACGGTGAGCGTACTCCATCGAAAACCAGTTGTAAAGAATGGTTTCGGCGATTCAACAGTGGTGATTTTGACGTGCGTGACAAACAACACGAAGGTGCACCGAAAAAACTTGAAGATGCAGAATTGCAAGCATTACTCGAAGAAGATTGATGTTTATCGCTCGATAGGTTGTCAAAAGACTTAAATGTTGATAAATCCATTGTTGGAAAATGTCTACACCCAATGGGAATGGTACAAAAAGAAGGAAATTGGGTGCCATACAAATTGAAAGAGAGAGACATGGAAAAACGTTTGGTCATCTGCGAGATGCTTCGTCAACGACAACAAAGAAAAGGTTTTCTACATCGTATCGTAACTGACGATGAAAAATGGATCTACTACGAAAACCCTAAACGCTTGAAAGCATGGGTGATGCCAGGTAAACCAGGTCCATCAACGCCAAAACGAAATATCCATGCTTCGAAAATTATGTTGTGCATCTGGTGGGATCAGAGGGATGTTATATATTATGAGCTGCTCAAACCGTCCGAAACCATCACTGGCGATCGTTATCGACTACAACTGATACGTTTAAACCAAGCTTTGAAAGAAAAACGATCGGAATGGGACAACAGGCACAACAAGCTGATTCTGTTACATGACAACGCTAGGCCACACGTTGCAAAACCGGTCAAGAAATACTTGGAAGGAGTAAAGTGGGAAATTCTGCCCCACCCGCCGTATTCACCGGACATTGCTCCTTCAGATTTCCATTTCTTCCTATCTATGCAGTCGGCCCTTTCTGGACAACGATTCAATTCTTATGAAGATATCAAAAAATGGCTTGACGAATGGATCGCTTCAAAAGAACCAGATTTTTTCATTCGAGGAATCCGTTTATTACCGGAAAAGTGGGAGAAAGTTGTCGCTTCCGAAGGAGCATACTTTGAATAAACTCACTTACATAGATTTGTTTAAATAAACACATCTTTTTCTTTTCAAAAAGGGCGGAAACTTATTCCCATACCCAATATATATAATATATATGTTTAAAAATGTAAGCAGATCTTCAAAAATGTAAACTTTGAAAAATTGAAATTATTATGTAACAATATATATTAACATGAAAAGTAACTTATATATTATTCAAAGTCCCAGTTCAAGGTGAACATACATAAAGCGTATTATCAAAAACGTAAAGCTTTAAAAATTTACTTTTATCAGATAATATATTATCTAACAATATACATATTGATAGATAGATAGATAGATAAATCTTTATTGATCCCCTCGGGGTTACAATTTTTATACACTCATATACCGCCACTTACACATTCTTACTTACTTTTTTTTTAACGCTGGGGAAATCCTCATGAATACCCCTCAAGGGAGGGAGCGGGTTATGTTGGACTCCTCCCGAAGTGAAGTACCCCGGGGGACCTACCAACTAAAATCCCAGCGAATGTCCTAACCACGGCGTGGATTTGAATCGGGTCGGGATCTTCGCTGCAGCAGTACTATCGACCCGGTCCAACGCTACTGCGCCATGATGCGCATAGCCTGTCCCAGGACGACGGAGGGGGAACCACCACCCTCCGTCTCCTATCCCGTCGCATCGTTTCTAGGGGGGCGCTGAATCCCCATTCGACGCCCCACGGTGCTAGGGGGGAAAGAGACAGCCGAACCCCGCGAAACGTGCAAGGCAAAGCCCCGCCGTCCCTCCACCACCACACTGCCAGTCCCAAAAGGAGTCAAAGAGGCTCCAGTGGGAGAGAGATGGCACATCCACCCGGGAGCCTATTTAACGGTCCCGGGTGAGCACCATAATCGTCTATCATTCCCGACAAGGAACGAGGAGGGCAACCAAATCATGCACTCCTCGCAGCACCGGAATCCCCTCCCTGGCTCTCTCTCCGTTCATCTTTAGCCTCATAACGGCCTCACAAAACTCGAGAACCGCTTTTCTGCCTTTGTCACTTAACAGAGCTTTGACCAGCCGGGGGGCCGATAGGTCGAGACCTATCGCCCCCCGGAGTCTGGCGCGCTGCACGGCCCAGGCCGGACAGCTCCTCAGGGTGTGCGATGCATTGTCGAGTATGGCGTCTCAATGCCAACACCGCTCGTTCGACTCTCTCTCGATACGACGCAGGAACCGACCGAAACAGCCGTGGTCGGTCAGCACCTGCGTCGCGTGGAAGGACAATCCCTGGAATCCGTCCATGCATCAATGTGGGGGCGGATCGCTCTCACAAATTCGCCACTGGGAGTGGCGGAAGCAAGCCAGTCCCTCCAACCTCGAAGAAGACGATCCCGGGAGACTTGTCTGACCCTACGTAGCGTAGGCTACGGGATCACCTTAAGATCCTGCTCACGTAGGTCCTTAACTGCCTTGAAATTCTCAAGGTACATGTCCGCCATGAGTTCGTATGGGAGAGTCCCGGTTAACGAGACGGCGATAGGCCTTGATGATCCTGCTCGCGATTCTGCGCTGAGTTTTATGCAGAATACCGAGAATCCTCTTATTCTTCTTGATGTCCGATGCCCAGATCGGAGCTCCGTACAATGCCACCGATCCAATGACATTCGCGAAGAGACGACAGCCTCCCCCCGGGACCTCCCAGATTGGGCAGCACCCTGATCAGCGAGGCCGCCATACCCTCCATCTTCGTGGCAATACTCTGGAAGTGTGCCTCGAATCTCAGGCGACTATTCAGGGTGAGGCCCAGGTACTTCATACGGGATCCCACCCTGACCTCAGTGCCAGCAACCTGCACGGGGTGATTCCGATTGACCACGGCTCGATTGGACACCACCAATCACAGCAACCGGTGCTTAGGAGCTTTGTAGTCTCAAGCGCTGTGAGTGGCTCGTGTCCAATTGAGCCGTGTCCAACTGGGTGCCACCCAACCTGCACCATGCCGCCAACCGGTCTACCCTTGGAGTAAAACCCGACCACCTCTGTTTTGCTTGGAGCAACCTCCAGGCCGATATCAGAGATCTTCTCGGTGACGCTGTTGATGGCCACGTTGGCCCCCAGGCGGGCATCATCCCAGTTCTCGCCTTCAGCAAGGATAATGTTGTCTGTGTAGCAGACGACAAGGCAATTGGGAGGAAGTTTTGCTTCAGGACATTATTGTATCCAAGGTCCCAAAGCAGAAGGCCCACGATGGATCCCTGGGGAAACCCCCGTGCCACCGTTCTCTCTTCCGTGATGCCGTCTTCGGTGGTGTAGACCAGCCTCTCAGTGAGGTACGACCTCACGATGCGTCGGAGGTAGAGGGGCACCCTATGCGCTCGCCGATCCGCGGCAACGGTAGCGAATTGAATGCGTTTCTAATATCGAGAGATATCCCAATCACGACCTCCCCTTCTTGCCAAGCGGACTCGATGAATTCGCGGACTTGTAAGATCGCGTCCAAAATGCTCCTCCCTCTGCGAAAACCGAACTGCATGGGATGCAAATTCGGACCTCGAGATTCCAGATGCGCAATTATCCTATCGGTAATAATACGCTCTAGCAGCTTCGCCTCATCATCTACCAGACAGATAGGGCGATATCCGGAGGCGCTATCGGCTGGCTTCCCCGGTTTTCGCAGGAGGACCGACCTGGTCCTCTTCCAAATCGAAGGAAATACCCCTCTCCTCAAACATTCAGAGAAGAAACTCCTCATAAAGTCCTCCAATAAGCTAACCGCGGCCGACCATGC